AAAGCCTTGAAATGCTTTAAAACCAGAGTTCACGCTGGAAGCACAGCCCCAGGAAGCCGAGCTTTAAAATGACGCAGCTTTTTTTCTGCTGCTGTTGCTGAATCAGGAAATCTCTCTATGGCACACCACCAACAAAGAGCAAAACTCTGCATTAAACTCTGTTTTTTCTCTGTTTAAAATTAAGCTCTCTCGGGTTTTTAAGTGGATTTAGCCCATCACATCTGGGCGCCACTATGCTACATATCAGCCTGGTGACTGAGGATGGTCCCTGAACCAGGTAGCCTGTTGCTAAATCCTACACAACCAGCCTGACCTCAGGAAAATTGAGTACTTGACTGGTTTATCTTTTTCCATCTCTTAAGTGGGGGGCAACAAAGCTTAGTAAGAATTATGTGGTCACTGTAAGTAAAAGTGTCTGGCCTATGGTACTGAGTCCAGTATTGGGAATAATGTCTTTCCTGCCTCAATTCTTTATTCCTGTGCCTAGTTTGCCTCTTAAATCTGTTACCTCTTCCAAAGCCACACACATCTCATCTCCCCAGAAGTGACAGCACTGCTCTCTAATACCCCTGTCTCACATTGCAAGTTTAGCACTGTGCAGGCCCAGTCACATGACCTTATTCTTCTTGTGCGTCAAACCCCTCAGGTGCATGCCCATCTCCAGGCCTTGCTGCAGCTTCTTCCTCAGAATGTTCTGTTCCTAAATGGCCCATGGCTGTACCTTCACATTCTGATCTTGTTTGGGAGGCCTTCCAGAATTGTCATTTGAAGTGGCATTCCTTTTCAGCTTACCTATATTTAATCAGCAGGGATTTTTTTCATAGTACTTTTAATACCAAACAGCTATAAATATTTTCTTATTCTTACTTGGACTTTGAGCTCCAGAAGAGATTGGATTTTGTTTTTCTACATCTGTATCCCTGGACCCAGAAGAGTACTTGACATATTGTAGGCATTCAAACATGTTTCTTTCACATGTGAATGGAAGCAATATCTTATATTTGTCAGGGAATTTACAGTTTATTTTGAAATATACTCCCTTACTTGAAACAGTGACAGAAATGTTATCAGCCCAACTTTGCAGATAAGAAACAAGCCAAACAGATTTGCAGATTTAACTAAGATCAAACATCAGAAATACTCTTGAAGTCTTCCACCCTGAGTCCAGTGTCGTTGTTGAGTGCTGTGGTGGTGGTGATGACGGAAAGTAACCAACAGTGGCTAGGCTGGCCCAGGCAGTTTTCACAGGACACTGTGAGAAGGGACAGAGAATGCAGTGGTGCCAACAAGCAATTTTACCTTCATAATTTCTGACCCTCCCTTCAAGTGGGCAAAGTCGCTGGACCACACAGTGCCATTCTTTTCAGGCCAGCAGTGTGCCTCATTTTACTCTGCTTTGTCTGCTTAATTCCCATTCCCAAGTAGTGATTTTTGATGCTGTAATTAGCATGCTATTTGTTATGAATTAACTGTGCAGTTTTCTAGATAGATGTTCATTCCATATGACAAGTACAGAATCTGACTTGGAAAGGGAGACATAAACTAGGAGGAGCATGATTTCATGTAGGTCCGGTAAAGTGTGTGAGGCTGAGCAAATGATTTCACAGAGTTTAAGAATGTCTGCTGAAGTACTGCACTGAAATAGGATCTGTGAGAGAGACTCATAGATTAATACACCTTCTGACCCACGGAAAACATAAATATGTCAGTAGTCAGCTCCAAATCCGTAGAAGAATTCTGAGTCATCCGCCAGATCAAACATTGGCAAACTTTGCCAGCAGAAAGGCAGATAGAAATGATTTGGGCATGCTAGTAATATAGTGTCATTGAATTGCTCAACTCTTCTATTGGAGAAAAAGTAGCCAGATTTCATTGTGTTAGCCAGATTTCATGGCTGTGACAAAGTACCTAAGAAAAACAAAGAAAAATATTTTGATTTATAGTTACGAGTTTTCTGTCTAGGGTTTTCTCATCCATTGCTTTGAGCCTGAGGCAAGGTGGAATATCATGGTGGGTACATACTTTGGAAGCAGAATGAAACCAGAAAGGACTGGAAGCCAGACAGAACCTTTAAGGGTACATATGTAGTAATCCACTTCCTAAGAGCCCATTTTAGCTGTGAACTCATGTGTGGATCAGTTCATTAATGAAATCAATGCTTTCATGATCCAGTCACATGTAAATGATTGGATCTACTAGCTGTGAACCAGGGAATCTTCTGATGGACATTTTATGTCTAAACTGCAACATGTAGACTGCAGAATAAGTAACCTGTGGGCTTGATTAGGTTGGCCTGAAGGCCTTTCCAACCCCTCCTATGGGTAGAAAATTGTACATATGTTTTAGAGTAGTGGTGGAAGGTTTTACCATTGAGGTTTTCATGAATTGCTGAGACTTGGCTAATGGAGAGCGAGCAGTGGAGTAAAGGGCAGATTAGACAAGACGAAAAAAGGAAGGCAACCCTGAACATCAGCTAGGAGTGATGGCTGACTTCATGTTGACTTGAGTTCCATTCTAGGTAATTCTGAATATAAAGAGTTAAGAAAGTCTGCCCATAAGCCTCACATGTCCTTACAGTCCCTACCAAAGCTCAGAGCTGGAGGTGGTCATGGGGTCTTGAGTGATCTGCTTCTGTCTTTCTTGCTCTGGCAGCAATGGAGTTGTATGTCTTTTCCTAGAGTTACATGGCTTAGGCTCACTTCAAACTCTATTGCTTACTAGCCATGTTACAGTACTGACCGAATTACCATGAGCCTCACTTTGTCCAGCTGCAAGATGGGAATCATAATCCATAAACTGTGCTGAGTAAAGTAATACTGGCAGTAGCTACTGCTCATCAAATGATGTCTGTTATTTATGATTCTTACTTTGTTGTGATTGTTATTTTGGATTCTTCAAGTGAGTTTATGCTTAGTATAGCTTGACTGTTTCTTTGTGTAAATAGATAAAAATTGGCGAGTTTTTTTCTTTTTCTTTTTTCTTTTTTTTTTTAAAGATAGAGATAGTAGAAACACTTGTCTGCCTTAGCCTTAATCTCTGGGGAACAAATCTATCACAGTGATTCACAATTTGTAATTCTGTGGTGAAGAATTCTTCATCCTGAGAACTATCTACTTAGTAGATTCATGGCCATCACTGTCACCTTTCCATAACTCCAGGTTAGTAGTGCAGGTGAAATGCTGCTAGTGTGGCCATTCTGATTCTCTCTAGCAAACAACAGATTTTAAAGACTTTCTACAGGTGAAGGTCAAAAGGACACAACTTAAAAACAACATTAAAACTCTTCATGGTAGCACCAAATATGAAGTTCAGTAGGAAACAATCTTCAGTCAGCTTGCAGCAAAGATTTTAAATCATTAGAATTAGCAAATATAGACTAAAACTATACTTAATTCGGGTTTTAGAAGAATTAAGAGAAATTTTTATAACAATGGGAACAAGAGGATTTCTACTCAGTCAGATATTTTTAAAGAACCAGTAGGAGCTTGGGTATTTGGCTCCTGTCTTGACTGGAAAATGAGCAGACCTTGAATGTGTGGGTGCCCAACCAGATTATTAAGTGTGATTTGTTTTGTTTTGCTTTTTATTCTATTCAACAGTGTCTGTACCAAAAATCTAGTAGAGTTGGGCAAATTCCAGATTCCAGCTGTGACTGAGAGATGTTTATCTTTGAGGAACTTATAATCTTCTTGCCTTTGTTTTTCCAAGGTGGTCTATCTGTGGGGGCTGAAGAAAAAGCCCATAGAGTCTACAGTCTAAGGGCTGAGCAAGGTTTTTGGTTTTTGTCTGCCATTTTTATTGCCATGCATAGCTAGGTCTGTCTTCCCCCATGCCAGTCAGCTCATTTCCCCACACAGGAGCTAATCAGTGCATCTTGACAAGGTTGTGCTCAGTATTTTTTCTCTTAATTCCAGTACTCGGAAGGCAGAGGCAGGCAGATCTCTGTGAGTTTCAGGCCTGGTCTATAGAGAGAGTTCCGGGGCAACTAGGACTACACACAGAACCTCTTACTTAAAAACTAAAACAACAACAACAAAAATTGGAATTAAATTTTTTTGTTTGGTGAGTATTGTCTGTATGTCTGTTCACAATGTGAATGTTTGATGCCTACTGAGGCCAGAAAAAGGCGCTGGATCCCCTGGAACTGGAGTTAGATAGTTGTGAGCATCATGGTTGTGCTGGGAATTGAACCTGGGTCATCTTTAAGAGTAGTGAGTTTTCTTAACTACTGAGCCATCTCTCCAACTTGTGCCCATTTTTTTGGAGTTTTTTTCACTGGCATAAGGGTTTCTGTAGATCTTGGTTCTTATAAGCTTCACTAAGCTAAAAACTCTTAGTCCCTTAAGACTTCCCTTTGTTTGAAAGTTCAAACAAACAAAGCCCCAAACCCTCAAATAAAATTCTAATAGAGAAACTGCTCATTTATTACTAGGCATTTTGTCACTTTGAGAAGTAACTAATATGAAAGCATCAGTTCTGAAGGTTTTAACCCAATGATTAAATAAAGACATCGTACCCACTTAAGTGAAGTAATTTATAGCATGGAGAATGAAACACTGAAGGAAAATGGGGAAATGGTATTTTTCTGAGTTGGGTCCTTGGGAGGCTTCCAAAAGGAGGTGGCCTTTGTTACTTGGTTTTGAAAGGCAAATGATTATTTGATAGCTAGGTAAGAGGCTGGGATCATGGCGAGCGTGCTATGGAGCAGGAGTTGAAAGTATGCTCACTGTTACTGCAGAGGTGGGGATGTAACCAGCTGTAGCTGGTTTTCCCAAAAGTGCAGGGCCCTCTGTCTCACTCTGCCTGCATTTTACCCTCTTCCTCTCTGTGTCTTTTGCTTCTGTTGGGGTGAGTCCTGTTAAGATACATGGTGAGAAATAACTTCTCTGTACACACTAATAAGATTGTTAAAATGAAACGTTGTGTTATGTGACTATGAAACTAGCTTTTCCCATTACTAAGTGGCATCTTGGATTGGGTGGTTTGGGAATGTTTTTCAGGTTGAAAATATCCTCTTGCATGACCGAGGCCACTATGTCTTGTGTGACTTTGGAAGTGCCACCAACAAATTCCAGAACCCACAGGCCGAGGGAGTCAATGCTGTAGAAGATGAAATTAAGAAGTAAGCTTTTTCTCCTTTCCTGGAGTTTTCTCTCTATCCGCTTATGGAGGAAACAGAGTGAGAAGAGCATGGTGCTGGCTGTTACCCTTTTCCCTGATGCTCACTATTGGGTTGTTTGATTGTGTCTGAAGACTGAGGAGGGAAAACTGGCCCGTGAACTGACAGAAAACTCTTAAACCTTTCTCAGTGCTCCTGTGGTCATTATACACACACATTTTAATTTACATAAAAAGATGAATGGTAGCTGGAGAGGGTGGGGAAGGTGTGGTATATATATCCCCGTATCCCCAGCAACTCTGGAGCTAAGGCAAGAGGATTGTAAGTTCAAGGCTGGCATGGGCTAAATAGCAAGACCTTGTCTCGAAAACTAAAGACTAACTGGTGATATGTGTTCATTGAAGTGCCATGATATTTCCAAGAGAAATTGTGGCATTCTGAATCAGACAGATGTGTGTTTTTACTGAACTCAAATTGCTGCCTTCTTTTTCATGAAGAACTCAACCATGCTCTAGTGGAATTTATGGTAGACAGAGCTACAGAAACCTCTACTGTTATTGTATGAGGAACCTGATGGGAGTCTCTTTAGGTTTTTGATTCCACTGCGAACCTCATGCCCACAATGTTGGGTTTTGCAAGGCACAATACACTCACTATGTCGTCTAGTAAATCAGCTGTCCATCATGTCCTTGCAGATGGTGAGCCTCTGTCCCGTTTGTGTATCACTCACATGACCATGCCTGAAGCATGACCTCTTCTGGTCCAAAGAAATCCTCCTGGGGCCAGATACCAGAGCAGCATAGTTGAGTGTTTAGTAACAGCAAGATAATCACTTAGGCCAAGTACCTACACTACTGTTTTTTTGAGTCAAAGATAAGAACATTGTAGTTTTTGTTTCAAAGAACCCATAATTATGGTGCTGGAACGATGACACAATGTATAAAATGTTTGCCATGCAAGTGTGAGGACCAGAGTTTGGATCCTTAGCACTCATAGAAAAGCCTGGTGGGCACAATGGCCTATCTGTAATCCCAGCCCTTTTTCATGAGGTGGAGACAGGTACTCCCTGGAGCAAGCTGGATAGCTAGCCTCATATCAGCAAGTCTCAAGACATAAAGTCTTGAAAGCAATGGAGGAAGACATTCAATATTAACTTGTTCTCTACACATATAGGCACACATGTGAACATGCACATTACATACATTACCCTCCCCTAGAAAAGAACTCATGAAATCCTCACCCCAGCTAGGGCTTACTTTCAGAATACCCTACTTATGTTTCATCTGTGTCTTATGTTAAGGAATTACTATTTTAAAAACTAATCATCAAAACATAGTATTAAACTACAGTGACTTACAGGAAAAAAAAATTGTCATTTGAAGACCCAAAAAAGGGCTGCTTTTAGGACTTTATTTAGTGCATTTGTGTCTGAACATCCCAGTACCCCAGTGTCCTAGGAGTAGAAGGTCTTCTGTGAGAGAATGTGATGACATTGTACTACAGAGAATCTTTCATTTTCATCTGTGCTAATATTTAATTTGCTCTTCTGCAGATTGCTGCCAGAGAATTGGATTCTAGTAATGTGAAAAAAAAATCGCTTCTCCTTGATTTTAATTATAACATTGATATATTTAACAAACCATGGATCTCTTGATTGTAGATATACAACACTCTCCTACCGAGCCCCAGAAATGGTCAACTTGTACAGTGGCAAAATCATCACTACGAAGGCAGACATTTGGGTATGTGTCAGCTAAACCATCCACACCCTATATGTCAGCAGACCTTGACTGGACTCCTGAGCTTAACTAGCCAGGGGCGAGCACACAGTGTTGCCCACTGTTGATGACCATCTTTTTATTTTATTTTATTTTATTCCTACTATTTTATGTGTATGTATGTTTGTCTGCTTGTGTCTGTGTACCATGTGTGTACAGTGTCCTCAGAAGACAATGTTAGATCCCCTGGACCTGATGTTACAGATAGTTGTGAGCCACCATGTAGGTGGTGGATATTGAATTTGGGTCTTCTGGAAGAGCAGCCAGTGCTCTTATCCAATGAGCCATCTCTCCAGCCTCCTTGATGCTGATCTTGATTTGAGGGGACAGACATTGCCTTTTAGAAAGTGGGGTAAAAATAAATAAGAACAAGAACCAAAAACAAAACCCTGCTTGCATGTTGTTCCAGTGCTTTTAATTTGTGTGGTATACTTCTAAAGAACAAACCAGATGAAATAGTCTTTCCTAATCATAGATAAAAAGTATAACTTGGCCGGGCGGTGGTGGCGCACACGAGTGCCTCCCAGCACTCGGGAGGCAGAGGCAGGCGGATCTCTGTGAGTTCGAGGCCAGCCTGGACTACAAGAGCTAGTTCCAGGACAGGAACCAAAAGCTACGGAGAAACCCTGTCTCGAAAATCAAAAAAAAAAAAAAAAAAAGGTGTAACTTGGATGCTAGATTGTCACTCTGGGTTCTAAATTCAAGTATTGCATAGGTAATGATATTATGTGGGGTTTGTTTTTGCTGGGAAATGTGGCTGCTACGGGTTTCTCTGAGCAGGTAACTGGCTTTACAGCAAATAAACCATGAGTTGCAATCTGCTTTCTTATTTTTTAGGCTCTTGGCTGTTTGTTGTATAAATTATGCTACTTCACTTTGCCGTTTGGGGAGAGCCAGGTGGCAATTTGTGATGGAAGCTTCACAATTCCCGATAACTCTCGATATTCTCAAGACATGCACTGCCTTATTAGTAAGTATTTCAGGTTTCCAGTTTCATGTTTGTATTTCTAATCCCCAGGAGTGGGTTGGAGGATAAAGAGGTTAACTTGTGGGAACAAGCTTGAGTGCCAAAATAAAGAAATCATTTGATGCTGTTGGGGACAGTGATAACGTGGCAGTGTTCACTTAGAGAAGTTGGTCTTTTTGCTGGAAAACTAAACTCGGCTTCGTGACTGAGCCAGCCACACAAATGGGAATGGCAGTTGTGTTCTGATCAGAATGATGCTGCTGTGTTCTGCTGCAGTCTATGGGAGAGCTCAGAGTCCAACTGACTCACATCAAGGGATAAGAATTTCATCTTTGCAAAGCTGGAAGCAGCTCAAGTGAGCATGATTGCGGTACTGCAATGAATGTGTAATTAAGACCATATAACTCCATGGAGCCAGGTTTTTCCTCTTATTTAGGTTATCACTGGATTTTTACAACAAGCATCTAAATTGAGTGTTTTGTTTAAAATTCTGAAGATTTTTGTTTCTTTGTGTTAATCGTAGACAGCATATGTACTAACATCCATTAACCAGATGGCAAAAAAGTAATCTTTGTACTAGAACCTGTACTAAAATGCTAAGAAACAGATTTTTTTGTCTTTCTTTCCTTCCTTCCTTCCTTCCTTCCTTCCTTCCTTCCTTCCTTCCTTCCTTCCTTCTTTCTTTCTCTCTTGTTTTTGTTTTTTCTTTTGTTTTGTTTTTCAAGACAGGGTTTCTCTGTGTAGCATCTCTGGCTGTCTTGGAACTCACTTTGTAGACCAGGCCAGCCTCGAACTCACTGAGATCTGCCTGCCTCTGCCTCCCAAGTGCTGGGATTAAAGGCATGCACCACCAGGCCTGGCAAAACAGATTAAAAAAAAAAAGTCATCTTTAAAAATGCTGGTCAAGACATTTAGCATTCAAGATTGAAAATGCATCATAGACCATAAATCCTGAGCTATCCAGTTTGAGAGACAGACAAGTGAGGTAGAACCTTGACCTGTGTTAAGACCTACTTATACCTCACCTAATTCTCAAAACCTGTAGGTTTGGTAGACCTGCATTTATTCATTCGTTTGTTTGTTTAGTTTGAGATAGTGCCTCATTATGTAGCTCTGGCTGTCCTGGAACTTACTATGTAGACCAGACTTGGACTCAAACTCACAGAGATTTGCCTGCCTCCTGCCTCCTGTTTTTCTGGGATTAAAGGTATTCACTTGGCATAACCTGTAGGTTTTAAGAGTCATTGTCCCTATTACCCACAAGAGGAAACAGGATAATTTCTTGAAGTTCATAATTCTGGAGGCTCCACAACCACCTTTTCCATTGCGTCAGTTGTCAATGAGCAGGAGGATGGGGTGTTTGTAGGATAGGAATGTGAACCTTGAGGACTGTCAGATTGTTTGCAGAGTCAAAGCAGTGTGTTTGTCTAGGACTGCAAGTGTGGAAGGAAATGGGAGAGAAGAGCCAGCTTTTTTTTTTCTTTTCTACTTTTCCTTTCTATTATCTGTAACAGTGAATTCATGTTGGAAAAACAGCTCTTTATGAATGACTGCAGTACTGACCCCTTTTCTAGACCCTATTTAGTGTGCAAACTATTTGAAGATTCTAAACTTGTAGGCCTCAAATTAAGCATCTTGTCGCCTCCCCAGTTCCTTTCCCCATACTGCCTTTTGTTCACTTTCTTTTGGTGGTATTGCCATCCACACCTGGATAGATAACATAGACGATTTTCTTTGGGTCTGAAAGAGCAAGAAAGAAGGAAGGAGCTGATCCAAGCTGCATTGATTCTCTTTAATAACTTGTCTTGATTTCCCTCGTTTTCACTAAAGAATGTACAGACTCAGCTGGGCGGTGGTGGTGCACACCTTTAATCCCAGCACTCAGGAGGCAGAGGCAGGTGGATCTCTGTGAGTTCAGACCAGCTTGGTCTACGAGAGCTAGTTCCAGGACAGGCTGCAAAGCTACAGTGAAACCTGGTTTCGAAAAACAAAAACAAAAACAAAAACAAGCAAAAAAAAAGAATGCACAGACTATGGTAGATCATGACCTGGTACATTGCCCCAGCTTCTCTACTCTCTCTTCATTCTTCCAGTACATATCTATCATGGATTATTCCTAGAAGATGTCATCTTTTCATGTCCCATTCAGTAAACTTGAGTGGCTTGCTAATGGTTCCATAATTAGGTCCTGAGTCTAAGCATGGTGTTTAGGGTCCTTTATATTATTTTTCTGTCCCACCCAGACATTTTTCCTCTCACCTGGACTGATGTTTTCTTTGTTCTTCCATGACTAATTTTCATTCTGTCTCTTTGGCACAGCCATTTGAGGCCTCGACCTCACAGATCTTTTCTGAACTTAGTGCCTCACATAGTAAACTGTCTTGACTCATTTTGCACGTATTTACACATGTGCCTGTATCTTCTCAAAGAATTCTCCTGTGTCAGAGACACTTGAAAGTCCTGGAAATAGACAATCTATAGAGCTTAGTATGTTAACTTGCTAATTTTCCTCAAACTAAAAACTAACTTATATCTCCAACAAGAGTAGTAAGTAAATTCATGAGCTTGTTTTTTAGACCTGGAGACAAAACCCAGAGATTGTCTTCTGACAAACCCTGAGTTCATGATACTTGAAGTTTGGCTGTATTTATCAACAGTCATTTTCTTAACAGAGGAAATGAGCTAGGAAACCATATGCAAGTCTGTGGTACATTCTAAGTCTTAGAATATGAAGCTGTAAATTTTTATGCCAAGAGTGTGAGCCTCTGACATTCCAGGCACAGAATATGAACCTCAAGTAGCTTTGCTATAGCTCACTATACAATAGTTTTCTTGTTTCCCTTTCTATGAAAAGGGCTAATTGAACTGTCTGACTTTTAAGAGAATTGAAACTTAAAACACAACCCAACTTTAATATTACAAAAGTTCAGTTACCTAAAAGTTCAGTGATACAATAACTGTTAAGATATTATGGAATAAGTTCATGTATGTTTGTCTTAGGGTATATGTTGGAACCAGACCCTGACAAAAGGCCGGATATTTACCAGGTTTCCTACTTCTCATTTAAACTGCTCAAGAAAGAATGCCCAATTCCAAATGTACAGGTATGTGAATGGTGCTTTTTAAAAGGATTTACAATTTTTAAGGATGTTTTTATTTGTTCTTTGAGAATTTCATACATGTTTACACCTTACTTGATCAGATCCATCCTAGTTCCTCCCTCTCACACCCCTAGGATCCTCTTTAACCCATCCCCCTCCAAAATCCATGTCATTTCCTTTTCTTTCTTTGCCTTTTTTTTTTTTTTTCCCTACTGAACTCTTAGTTCTGCCGTGTGCCCACAGATGTGGGACTGTCTACCTGAGCTCTGGCTACCTGCTGCTGTTCCATCTCCAAAGACAAATGCCTCTCCCTCAACAGGCATCACCTGCTCAGCTCCTCAACAAGATGTGATGAGGCCTCATGGGTCCCTAGAATTTTGATTAACTTGATCTTGGGTAGATCTTACTCATATAACCACAGCTGCCATGAGCTCAAGAAGATGGTGCTATTTAAAGGAAATAAACATCATCAAATTGTTGTTTTTGAGTCATTATGGGTGTTAATCTCTGGATTCAATGAATATTAATGTCCCTTTCTTTACCCATAACAGGACATTCAAGCAAATCAGTTACTATAAAGAGAATCCAATTTTCCCATGGATTTTAATTATGAAACCGAGACAACTACGCTGAACATTAACAGCTCCTTCCCCAGTTGCCTGGGGACTGAGCTGAGTAGAGTGACCACAGTTCTCTGAGAGCAGCATGTCAGTTGTATGTCCCCAGAGTGATCAGTTGCCTTGTTTTCCTGAGGCAAGGCTCTGTTCACCTTGCTGCTCTTTCTCTCTTCAAGGGCATTTTGCTTCCTTGATGCATCTCATGCATTTGTCTACCTTCCCTTTCCTCTCACAGGGAGATGGGAAATCCCTGTTTTGGTCCTGGAGGCCATATTAGAAGACCCTAAATGCTACTTCCATTAACCCCAGTCAGACTGCTTGTTCCTTGTCTGGAGCATTTGTTTTTATTTTAGGGTTTTTGTTTTTTTTTTATTGAGAATAAGAAAAAAAAAGTTTCCACCTCCTCCCAGCCTCCCATTTCCCTCTCCCTCCCCCCACTCTTCTCCCCCTCCCCCCACTCCTCTCCCCCTCCCTCTCTAATCCAAAAAGCAGTCATGGTTCCCTGCCCTGTGGAAAGTCCAAGGTCCTCCCCCCTCCGTCCTTGTCTAGGAAGGTGAACATCCAAACTGGCTAGGCTCCCACCAAGCCGGAACATGAAGTAGGATCAGAACCCCTTGCCATTGACCTTATTTTAGGTTTTAAAATAGTATTCTACTGTGTAGCCCAGACTGACTTTGATTTCATGATCCTGCCTCAGCCTCCCAAGTCTTGGGATTACCATCACTGGCCATTATACCTGCCCTCGGAATGCTTATTATTTACAAAGAAATCCATATGCTTTTTTTTCTTTCAACGTTTTAGAACTCTCCCATTCCTGCAAAACTTCCTGAACCAGTGAAAGCCAGTGAGGCAGCTGTAAAAAAGACCCAGCC